TGAACAATGGTGCCATTCCCTAAAGGGATTTTCTTTTGAGAACAGTATAAATGATGTGCTGCCTAGCATCTTTTCCTATACCAAGTATAAAAATACCAGGGCTATAACTAATGGGAATAAGAGGGACTGCTGCAGTTCCTCAGAGGAATCACACTATATACTGATCTCATTAGCCCTTTTGTTATATCTAAATGATAACTGGGTTGCAATAATCATTCCAGCAGCTCTAGCTTGTCTAAAGAGAAGGAGAAAAGATTTCTTTATAACTCTGTTGACAAAAAAAATCTGGAGCTTTTAACATGGAGTGTAGAAGAGAATTCTTGATGCATGGCACTCATGAAAAGCCACTCAAATTAACCTAAAATGTATTTGAATCTATGGCTCAGGATGATGACCATGTCAACAATCTGAACTTCATTAAGCAACTATTTTTCCAGTATCATTTATTGTCTTGCTTTTAATCTCTTGCTGTAACTTGACAATCATGTTTGTTTTGATTAATTATTTACATGAATCTCGGATCCTCCATTATAATGGCTGTTGTGCAGAATATGGTTTCTAATTAAATTCCATTTCTCTGATGAAATAGTATTTACATCCACCAAATGTCATAATTCACTGTAATATTAAATAATCAATGTTTGACAGATTCTCTGAAAGCAGCGAGACAGAAATAATTAATAAAGTAAGGCAATTGCACTGGGTTACCATGATGTACTGATGAGGGAGAGAAGCAACAGATTTCCAGAACTAATGTAATCAGATCATGTTGTTTATCATTTTCTTATGGAAGTGACATTTTGTACATTCAGAAGAAAAATGGCCATGAGAGCAGATAGTTGTGTGATAAAACAAGAGGAAATGATTATCTTTCTGAGAGAGATGATTGCATGTTCATGGATGAACCAACAAAACATTGAAATATTCAGTTAAGTAGTTAATGAAAATTGTTAGACGCTGCAGGTGCTTGGATGATATGTCTATGAACGGTAAAGGTAGGATTTTCCAAAGCATTCTGCACTGGGCTAACCCTGCTCCCATTGAAGTCAGTGGTATAACTCTCATTGATTTTAGGAGAGCAGAACTGTTTAATTCAGGGTGTGTCTACGCCGCAGTTGGGAGGTGTGATTGCAGCATGTGTAGATATACCCAAGCTAGCATGGATCTAGCCAAGTCCAAGCTGACTTGAGTAATAGTAGCAGCGAAGCTGCAGCACGGGTGGCTACATGGGCTAGCCCCACCCACCCAGGACCTTGAGTTCATACTGCCCAGGCTGCTGAGGCTTCACTGCTATTGTTACTCGATCTAGCTTTGATCTAGTTTGGGTATGTCTACCTATGCTGCAACCACACCTCCCCCAGTGCAGTGTAGACATACCTTGAGAGTTACACAGCAGCTGGGAGGTGTGATTCTCAGGCCAGGTAGACAGACACACACACAGTGCTCAAATTGTGGGGAAAAAGTGTGGGGGGATGTCTGAATATCAAGTGCCTTACTTTAATTTAAGCAGTATTGAGAAGTAAGGGGGACATAAAACAGATATGAGGTAGCCTCTAAAAGTGTAGTAAAGGGGCTTGGTCCCACCAACCCCACCTGGTAATTCAAGCACTGGACACTTGCTACCTCTAATCAAGCTAACACTTAAAAATAGCCGAGTGGCTGTGGCTGGGGCCGCACAGACAGCTGCTGAGGCTAGCCAGCTGAGTACGTACCCAGGGGTTCAGATGGGACTGTATTCAGGTGACTGGTCAGAGCTGCTCCCTGTGCTGCTGCAGCGCCAACACAGGTACGTCCACTGTGCTGAGAATCACACCATCAGCTACTCTGTAGACATATTCTAAGAGTGCTTTTGAAGAACCCTGTGTTTGGATTTAAGAGTGCCAAGAATTAACGTTTCAGGATTTAATTCTATTTTAAGATTGTCTGTCTTTGTTTAAATGTGTAAATCGGACTAAAATATTAAGTGACTTTAATAATCAGGAGGGCAACAAGAAGTTTATTGAAATGTATATTTTTACAAAATAATATATGGGCTGGAAACATCCTTGAGTATAGATTCAGCATGATTCACAGGTGCTGCAGTTTTCATATGAATGGGAGCTATGGCCTAGATTCATAAAGAAACTTAGGCATCGTCACATTGAGCATCACAACAACTCTACGCCACTACGATAAAGGTAAATCTTGTCTGTATGGTGACCCCAGAACTTGGAGCATTGGTTAGATACTGTGGAATGATCTTCCCCAGGATCTAAGGACATTCACAAACGTCATCAACTTCCACTCCACACGCAAGGCACATGTCTTTGCCCTTGTCTTCTCTATTATTAAGACAAAGCAGTGTGTACATTAAAAAAACAAAACAAAAACAAAAAGACAACAAGAACCAGTAGCAAAAGGAAAACATTCTACTGCATATACAATACCCTCCCCGTCAGGGAGGGGAGAATGAGAGAACAAACCATGCATCAGGTATTTGTCACATCACTTAATGCATTGCTGGAAGAAGCTCAGATACTACAGTGATGAGCAAGATATAAGAACCTACATAGAAAACTTGTGAATTAATATGCACTGTTATCTCAAATTTCATTTTTTACTGGAAGTAGCTCTCGTCCAGAAGTGATATTAACAAGAATAACAATCCATGAGGTCAGTCCAACATTGATTACTTGACATTGTGTGGTCAGAAAATTTCACTGGTACCACTGGGTGTCATGTAAAAATATTGCCTTCTCCTTCATGTCAAGAAGAGAGGAGATTAGAACCATAAGGAAACATTTTTAAACATTAGATTGGTGTATACACATATATCATAGAATCATAGAACTGAAAGGGACCTTGAGAGGTCATCTAGTCCAGTCCCCTGAACTAATGGCAGGGCTAAGTATTATCTAGACCATCCCTGACAGGTGTTTGTCCAACCTGTTCTTAAAAATCCCCAATGATGGAGATTCCACAACCTCCCTTGGCAATATATTCCAGTGCTTAACCACTCTGACAGTTAGGAAGTTTTTCCTAATGTCCAACCTAGACCTAAAGTTTTTCCTAATGTCCATATAAAATGGCTCATTCTGAGTCTAATCCAGAGCCCACTGAGGTCAATGGAAGCCTCTCTATGGACTTCAGAGATTGTCTTATGAAAGCCAGTTCCCACTCCCCATTTAGCATTTCCAGTTTTGTATAAGAACATCTATCTCCAAATAGCCCCCCAAAAAGAGTTTATGGGCTACAGACATGCTTAAAGCTGCTGCCACTTATGCAACCAGCATTTGTTCCCTGCAAAATCCAGCACTCAGCACAGAGAACATGCCTCACTTTTTAAAAATTAAAGGCACTGTGTATAAGGATGTGTTCATCAATAGGAAATTTACCATGCACTGTACATAGAATAATGTATTGTTGTGTAATGCTACCAAGGTTCCCTTTTAAAAGTCATCCTTTACAGCAGTTACCACACTACTCTAAAATATGATTGGATTTCTCTAGTTAGTATAGGAAAAAGAGCCTAATCCTGAGTACTTGCAATTCCCATTGATATCAATGAATGTTCAGCATCAGGTTCAGACCTTAAATTACTCTGGCCTAGTAACTGTTTGCAGAAGATGACTCTTTAATGATGACTACTCTAATGCATATACAGCAAGCATCACAGGTGATTGCACTGCACTAGAGGTAAAGGAATGAGGTAAGCAGGGTCTAATATGGTCATAGATGCACTATCTTGTGCATATAAAACAGTTCCTTTTCATATACAAGTTAAAATATTTAAGTAAAAGGAACCTTTGAAAAGCAGAAATATCTACCTGGACTGATATGCAGTATTTACCCCTTGAGGGATTTCATGTTACAGATAATCTAACTCCCTATCAAATAAAAGTGTTTACCTTCCCGTTTATTTGCACCAGAGTTAGCATGATGAAATGATTTGTTGTGCCAATAAAATTTTTGTTACATTATAAAAAGGTTTGTTGCACTACTATTGCTACATAAAATTGTTATGAAATTTAACCATATTGCAAGCTCCAGAAAGGCACATTCCACTTGTAGAACTAGCTGCCAGAAAAAAAAAATTTCTTTCGTTCTTTCTTTCTTTCTTTCTTTCTTTCTTTCTTTAATATGGCATTTTAATTCTACTTTGCCATAAACAATTTCACACGATCATCTCTCTTTTTTGCTCAGTAGCTGTAACCTATTGCTGTCCACTTCAACACCCTCCTACACACACATATACCAAGATCTTGTACAAAACTATGATTATTATATTTTGCGGGCAATTTTTAACTAAATAAACAAAATCTATTCTACTGCTCCTGAGAAATTAGGTCCCGTTCTCTTTGTTCCCCCAATGGCCCTTTTAGTTTCAGTAGTGCAAATGTTCAGAGTCCAGTAGCAGAACAATCTGCAGTATCTAATAGACAATAGGCTTCTCTTGATGGCACAATAATATTATATTAAATGGTGTGCAGTTTCAGGCTGGTACGGTAATTATATAGTAACTGCAGTAAGTGGCCCACCAAGGTAAAATTTTTGGATACCTCCATTCTCACAGAAGGATACAGACTGTCATAAAAAAAAAGATATAATAATACTCTAATTATTACAATTTCCCTAACCTTTTTCAGTGGTTGTTTGTTTGCATTAGGAAGCTATTTACTATCTAAAATAGATTTATATTCAGACCTGGATGAAGTATTGCCTTTCTGCACATGTTCTAATGAGTGAGCATTAATTGCTATGGATGAAATTCACTTCCATACAAAGGGCCAGCATTAGGGCTATGAACCATTCATGTTCCCAATGTAGGGCTGTTATGAAATATGAGCATATGAGATCAGTGTACATTTCAAATGGCAAGTTTTATACTCAACTATGCAATTTAAAATCTGTACTGTTATTGGTCATCCACTCAGTAAACAGAAATAATAGCATGTGACCTGCATAATAAAGAAGAATATAGGAGTGGTAAAATCTGATGGTAACTGAAAATAGAAACTTACAGACAGTAATATTTGGATGGCGCTGTGAATGACCTCGAGATACTGGAAGTCAATGATGCAGCCCGTCACAGAGACATAAGAGTAATCGTCTAGGATCCCAGGGGCTGAAGGGCGCACCACTCTCCGTATGCAGCCTGGCCCATGCTCTCGCCACCAGGAACGGTGCATTGAAATGTTAAAGGTCATGAGATCAGTTTCCTAGGAGACAAAGAGAGAAAAAGGAATGAAATCCTCGTCTGTCACAGCATTAAAGATGAAAACAGGAAATAATGTAATTTCACTTATAAAATCAAAACTAAGCAAAATAAATAAATAAATACTGTCTAAGATGAAGGCAGACCATTGAAAAGGAGAGAGGAAAATCTTATTGGGGCCATGATCGGCTAGATACTCTACGAAACATAGAGCAAATAATAGTCCCTCTCCAAAAGAAAGTTGGAGTCTAAAAGTACAACCTAATTATTACTTTACTAGAAAGTGTCTCCAGAATGCATTTATTCCTCTGGTAGGTAAAGGTGACAGTCACTTACAACAGTGGTTCTTAACCTTTTTGGGCTCAGGACCTCTTTATAAATGTTTATGGCCTGTTATGACCCAGTAAATAGCCTGAGGGTGGAAGCTCTGGGGTGGTTTCGGTTGAGTCCTGCCCGACACTCACCCTACAGTGTCAACTCCTGTGCTGTGGGGCTGCCTGGCCTTGGCTCTCTGTTTTGGGTGTTGCAACCTCCAGGGTTGCCATGCCACTCAGATTGGCCCTGCCCCCATGACTAGATTAAATTTGTATGAGTCGAGTTGTGACCTGGCTCAGGGAGTTGCAGGGCCATTCACTCAAATTTGGCCTACCCAGGCTCCTGTCATCATGACGGCTTGGCCAAATCTGAGTGGTGCTGGGACCTCTAAAGTTGCTGTGCCTGGAGCAGGGAGGCGAGCCCAGCCAATCCTGTGGGACAGAAGCCAGAGAAGCTGCCATGTGACTCTTTGAAACATTCAAGTGACCCAATTTTGGATCCCAATGCATGGGCTGAGAAACCATAGCCTAGACCCAATGTTATTTCTACAGGATAAGATCTAAAATAAACCTCTACAGAATGCATTTGAGGCAACAGGACTAGTGGAAATATCTGTTATTTTGTATAAATCAATCAGTATAACATGTTTAGTGTAGTATAACATGCATATTTTCACCCACTCACTTTCACCTTCATTGCTCAGCACAGCAGTAAAAGTGGCAAAATTCTAACAAATTTTTGAAGACAGCTCCAGTTGTGCCTGCAAAAATGCTTGTCTTCTGGCTGTACTAAAAAAGCATCACAGTTTCTAGGCATATCCATGCTTAGTTGTGGGTACAAATGTGGGCTGCTGCACGTATACTTTTACAGGCTCACTTACTGAACCTTATTAATCTGCCCTACAAGTGTAGCTTTCTGTGGAAGAAGAGGTCCATACCAAACAAAGATAGCAGGATTTTTGCCATTATATAACATCTTATATAGTTGCCAAGTCATTATTTAGACTTGGTGAGATATCTGTCTTTTGCCTTTGAACATCATTCTTTGATTCCATTTTAGAAAATTTTGCACTCATGGTAGGGTGATATCTTACTGAATTGAAATAAAACTTGACAGACAACGCTGCTTAGGTAAAATATAATTATAAATAAAAGCAAGAGCCAATAACTGGCAGTTTCTTATGTTTTGCTCAGTGCAACAATCCCTGTTATTTTATTACACATTACTGATGGGCTTTTCTCTTTATGCTACTAAGCCATGGAAAAGTCTCCCCTTCCATATTTGGTTGTGGGAACTTTATTAAGGATTTTTCTGCCTTGAGTCCCTGAGGGCTTAAGTGGAACTTAAGTGGTATATGGGCCTTCTACTCGGCCTCCATGCAAGGGGTGAATTTCACCCTAATTGTTTCATAATAGTTAGCCTATTTTTCTGCATAGTGCAGGAAAAACAACATTAAGTAGGGATTACCCTGTAAACTAACTCTGAAGCTATGTATCATTGCAAGCCAGAAATATGATCTGCAAAAGAACTTTACCATTAGAGACAATTTTTTTTTTACAAGAGGGAGCCAATACATTTATGTACAGTACTTCATTAAAAATAAACCGTATGAAGGAAACACACATACGTCCTTAATCTCATCTAGAGATGGATGAAAATTTGGAAAAGTTCTCCCAGATTTGTTTTGCAAATTTTGACTATGTTTTTAAATTTAAAATTTGTCATCCAGCTCTACTCTTATTCTTATTCAGCAAAGCACCTACAAATATGCTTAATTTTTAGCATGTGCTTAAGAAGGCCCATTGATGTCATTGGCCATTATCATCCTTCATTCAGTAATGGAAGAGGAGACATTTGTGAAATGTATCTGACTTTCAAGCCACTGATGGTACAATAAGAGAAGGAAACTCCCATATCACCATCAAATTCTCTGCTCTGATGTACAAAAGATGTGATCATGGCACTTTTTGTATCATTAATTTTGTTCAGCAGCTGTGGGTAAGGGTGAATGCCAGAGTGCCATACCCTGGTTCTCCAAAGCAGATGCAAAAGGTAAATAATTATCCAGCAGAGATCAGTGTCTTATAAGTGTAAACTAACAAAAAAATCACATGGTGCTTTGGTTTGACCTCTAATATGTCACTCCACAAAGTGGCAATGTTACAGCTGATAAATGTTAAGCTACTGATCAATAAATGAAAGCCTGAAAAAAGAATGAATAATTTGCAGTAGCCAAAGTGTATCTTCTCTCTAGGAAACACCTAAGCTATATAATGAGTCAGATATGCCATCCTTTAAAAAAATCAACTAGTGGTTTTACTATTTATACTGAAATAAAGAAAGTCAAATAAAAACAAAGATGAAATGAGATAAACAACATTGATCCACTCTGTGTCTCTTACTTTTCCATACAAAATTTTGTTTATGGCTAATAAATTATAAAAAAATACTAATAATTCTTTGTTTGATAGCACTGCCTACCCACCCCATTGTGCTAGACACTATACAAACACTTATAATTAGACTTAGAAGGATTCGATTTTTATTGGTAAATGTCACTAAACATCAGTTTCATCACACACACAAAAAAAGACAAAAATATTTCCAACAATATCTTCCATAAAGAAAGTCAAAGTGAGAAAAATGCTGCTTGAGAACTTGAGTATGATTTAAGGAACTTTGTTTATTTTGAAATCTGATGTTGGCAGATTGTGTTTTAACAATTATAGTGCTTTAACGATTTGAATCTCAACTTCTACTATCCTTAAAATATTGTCTGAGCTCCCCAATGATTTTCCACAACTGTGAAAATGTAAATAGATAAAAATAGGAAAAAATGCTTAAAAATAAATATTGGTATTATTCCTCAAAAGTATATAAAAATTTAATTCTACTAAGCCTACTTATAATCAGGGCTGGCTCCAGGCACCAGCTGAGCAAGCTGGTGCTTGGGGCGGCAGATTGTTCAAGGTGGCATTCTGCACAATCCTAGGGCGGCACAACTGCTTTTTTTTTGCTGTTGTTCCACTCTGGCCGCCCTGCAGGGGGCGGCAGTGCGGAGAACCAGAGAGCCCTGCAGGGCAGTCCTCTTCCTTCCCTCCCCGCCGACTGGAGCGGAGCCCTCGCAGCAGGCGGCAGGAGGCGGCACAGCGGGAGGGGCTGTGTGGCAGCGCCCCTGCTGTAGCCCTGGCTGACCCCTTCTCTCTCTCTCCCGCCCGCTCCCTTCCCTCCCCCCCCCCAGCCGGTCCCCCTGCACCCGCGCTCTGGCCACACCTCAGGGTTTTGTTGGTTTTTTTTGCTTGGGGCGGCCAAAAAGCCAGAACCGGCCGTGCTTATAATATGATAATCCCTGTTCGAAAAAGCTTCCAAACTAGGTGATCTTAACAATAAGCAAAATGTGTTCATGTACAGGGCCGTAATGACCTCTGCATTTTAGGTACAATTAAAGTGTTGTGGTTTTCGAGGAGGCAATATGAACATCATTTTGAACAAATAATTCACATGTGTATGTCATAACATATACAATACTGAAACAACACAACTCATTTCAGATGCCACACATCAAGATTGTGGAAAATTTGTTAAACAATAAAGCATCTAAATACCAGTTCAAATGTCTCAGCACTTGCATTGCCTTAGATAAGTGCACCGCACAGTGTTACATTTTAATCCAGATCTATAAAGTGTATGCACATGGGATAAATCCCCGTTTCAGCAAAGATGTGTTTAACCTTAAACACATCAATAATCCCATCCCTAGTGAGCTAAACATTCAGCAGGTGTCTAAATCCCACTGAAGTCAGTGGGATTTAAGCACATGCTGAAGTGCTTTGCTGAATAGGGATGGGATTACTCATGTTTAAAATAAAGAACGTGCTTAAAGTGCTTTGCTTAAATTTGGAACCAGAAAATCCAAAAACTGTTTCTCCCAATGTACAGCTTATAAGTACCGTTGTAATTTAGTCTGGGTGTTTCTGCAGAACTGCTCACAAAACTACCACTTTGAAAGGTGCTTAGATTGTAGCACTGATTGCTTTCTCCTTTCAGTATTATATGAAAGTTAAATGTTTGTTAGGGAAGTCCAAGAGGATGCTTGCAATTTTTCAATATACAACACATACAGTTTTCTCATGTTAAAAACAGCCATTAAGCAACTGCTTCAAGACACTCCAGTCTTCCAGAAGGTAATGTAATGTAAATTGCTGTTTTTTTTTACAAAAGTATGCAGTTTTTCAAGCTTACTACTACTGATTGTGTACCAGACTCCATGCATCTATATAACAGCACACCTTGAATCCAAAGAGAGAGTGCAAAGGCACAGTGCTTTAGGATTGGTTTCAGTGGTAGCAGTGTTAGTCTGTATCAGAAAAAAAACAAAACAAAAAACGAGGAGTCCTTGTGCCACCTTAGAGACTAACAAATTTATTTGGGAATAAGCTTTTGTGGGCTAGAACCCACTTCATCAGATGTATGAAGTAAAAAATACAGGAGCAGGTATAAATATCCAGAAGGAGGGAGTGATTTACCAAGTGTGAGGTCAGTCTAATGAGATAAATCAATTAACAGCAGGATACCAAGGGAGGAAAAATAACTTTTGAAGTGGTAAGAGAGTGGCCCATTACAGACAGTTGACAAGAAGGTGTGAGTAACAGTAGGGAGAAATTAGTATTGGGGAAATTAAGTTTAGGT